GAGGAGCCGCTCAACAGCGTTTTGATCGGACATCATTTTGAATGGAACCTTCAGAGAGGATGTTCTGCTGGGAACAGGAGTGGAACATCTCTTTCGCGGGTTGTGGCTTCAGGAGTATTTACCACATAGGAGCCATGAGCTGTGTCCAGGAGCGGGCTCCTCGTCTGATTCAAGGTGCGTCCAAAATCTGTGGAGCTTCATCTGGATGTCTGGTTGCTGTCGCTCTGACCGTTGGGATTCCCGTAGGTGAGTCGGGATCAGAGCTTCTTAAAACCTGCAGGTATTTTCTGCAGGTTGAGTCGGGATCAGAGCTTCTTAAAACCCGCAGGTATTTTCTTAAAAAAAACTCAACACCCGAGGACATTTGTTCATTTGTAAGTTCTGTTTGCAAATCGTGTGATTGTTTTGTGCATTGTTATAACACACTATATGCAAATATAGGAGTGTTTTTTTTTTCTTTTGAAACTCTTGTTTGTGTTGTGGAGCTTTTCCTGTAGCGATTGTAGTCATCAGTTATGAAAAGTCAATGATATGTTATCTCAGATCAGATGATGACTGGTGTAAACCAAGTTGTTGTCAGGTTCACTGACATACAGTTGCATTAGTGGGGTCAGAGTCCAGGTGTCACAGAGGTCAAAGTCAAGGGCAGCAAATAAGGAGGAAAAAAAACACATCAATTTCACCCTCTGAGTTATTGAGACATACAGACGCAACGATAACAATACTGCGGTTTGTCTTGTGCTGGATTTACAATAATGAGGCAATGAGTTGAAATAATAAGAATGCTTCACGGCAGTCAACAACATCAACTGTGAGATAAGACGAATCACAACATAGACACTGTCTCGTTGTGTCGCATGATTCAAAACAGTACATTAGAGTAGAAGGACAGAAGAAGCAAAGATCTGTGCTTCAGTTCAATGCTCTATACTTTTATAGAACAGCACTGCTGCCACAGGGTGGGCCTAAACACCGCCCAGTCTGGAATCAACCCATTGACCACCTGTATGTGTGGTGTAAGACAACTACACTACCCACTGAGCTACTGCCAGCCCGTTCTTGACACTTGTGTGTGGACGTACTGCAGGTCTTTTCCATCCACATACAGGAAGTCAGGAGTTCTCACTGTGAGTAAAGGCCAGAGACGGAGACTGCTGCTGAATGTACATGAGCTTCAATGGACAAAGTCACGTGGGCTGCTATAGCCAAAGAGCCAGTGTCAGTTTATAAAATGTCACTTGAGGCTGTATAGAAAATGTTGAGTGGGCCATATGGTGGAGGAATGATCGGTACTTATGCCTTAGAGCAAGAAGGTCACTGGTTTGATCCCCGAGAATGTGACTGCTGACTGACTAATGACCTCCAGCCCCCTGGCTGCCTGTGCTGCTGACTGACTAATGACCTCCAGCCCGACCTCCTGGCTGCCTGTAAACCCATCATGTGGTGGAAGATAATTGGATGACCAGGAGTTCATCCAGATCAAATGACACTGGAAACTCTTTGGTCAGATTAATGTGGAAATATGGGAAAAAAAAAGGTCTGGATGTTCAGACCTTCTCAAACATACCATCATCAGTCATGATATAAAGGTGCAGCAGCAGCTACGACATATGGAATCTTTTTTTTTTTTGTCTGGAGGTTCAGTTGATGCAGATGCTGACAAGGACATTTAAAGAATTGTGCAACATACGTTTTCATCGAAATAATATCTTGTGTTGGGTGAAAACAAACACGTTGTTTCCCCGATGCAGATGCTGACAAGGACATTTAAAAACATACGCTTTCATCGAAATAATATCTTGTGTTGCGTGAAAACAAACACGTTGTTTCCCTTTGGATCAATACCAATTCTGACGTTTCCTCTGCAGAACAGTTCTGTGCTGATGTGCTAAAAATGGCCGGAGAGGCCAGAAGCCACAGACTGGGAGTTTTCCACCCAACATTCAGTCTGCTCAGGAGAGTCCACGATTCCCTGTTAGAACGACTCCCAGAGGACGCTCACCTTAAGGCCTCTGGAAAGCTGTGTGTGTCCCTCACCAGGGTGGCTGATGGGAAAAACGTGTTAGTGTCAGAATTTGACAGCAGAGACGAGCTTATTCAGGTAAAACAGGAGAGAAAAGATGATAAAGTCCAAGACATTGTGTGTGTGGTGTGGACAGTATGAATCAACCGTTTCATCTCTCCGCAGGTTCTCACGTGCAGCTGCTTTTTTCCTGTTTACTGTGGTTTCACTCCACCGTCGTACCGTGGAGTGGTGAGTAAACGACCTATAAATGACCTGTCGTCCCTCGCTGTATCGCGGTTCGACTGTCGCGCCCTGTGTGCATCGCGGGTTTTGAATATTTCAAATGTACTCTTTTATTGTTAATTTTTTGCTCTATATTTTTGCGGAATATAAAAAAAAGACTAATGTTTTCAATAAGCATTTTCTACCCTTAGAAAAAAACAAAATTCTTTAAAAAATAAATGACATTTTGAAACACATACAGGGTACAAGATCTGAACAAGAGATTTGTAAAAGTTTCGTTAATTTTTTTTTGCCATATTTCTCGCCCTACGATGCCTCCTAAAGGGTTCTTAAAGGGTTAATATATACGTAAATAATATAATAATTATTGCGGTTTATCACCTATCACATGTGGTCTTGGAACGTGACCCCCTGCAACAGAGGAGGGACCACTGTACTTCACCAGCCCAGCAGTCATAATTAGAAAATCATCTAAGTTGAATTGAATTTGAATCGTCTTCTCGTCGCAGCTCTACATGGACGGAGCCTTGAGCAACAACATGCCCCTGTTTGAGCAGAGAAACACCATCACTGTGGCCCCCTTCTCAGGGGAGAGTGATATCTGCCCCAGAGAGGGAACCTTCAACTTCTTTGAAGTGCACTATGGCAACGTCAGCATCCAGGTCAACACTGGGAACGTGCACCGCATCTGTACGTCCTTCCTCCCTACAACACTCCAGGTTGGTTCTCTGTCACACGCTGCGGTTTGTTGTTGTTGTTGTTGTTTATGGTTGTGTTGTGATGCAGTTTGTTCTTATGACAGAAACTCGCTGAGATTTGTCGCAACGGCTACATGGATGCTCTCCGTTTCTTAAGAGAAAATGGTGAGATTCATCACTCTTTTCTTCCTGAAATGAACCAGGTCCGACCATAAGAACAGAAAAAAAAGAATTTGAATGTACATCCAGATCTACTAGGGACAGAAAGGATTCCTTCCAGTTTAGTGGCACACACACGCACACTCAGACCTGAGTGCTGCGCTCAGGTGAAGGACGTATATCGAGCAAGAGGCTCCAAGAATGGAATGAAGTCTGAGGAGGAGAAGGAACCCTGGCTGGATCACAGAACCATGGAGAACCTTCCACCTGGCATCCAGAAAGGTACGTGTGACAGATGGAAGCAGTCAGAACACCAGTGACATCAAATGATATCCTTGGAAAAGGTCAGGGTTTAATTGCAGATGTTAAGTGGAAGCAGCCATCTTTGAAAAGACCAGAAGTACAAGTACAGGTGCAGATACGTGACTCTTTACTCTTACAGTTGTACGATGGCTGTGTTTAATTATGAATTAATTCAATTTGAATTGTTAGATAATACTGAGACCTCAAACTGGTCTCAGAACAACCAGTCCACTAGTTAGTAAATTATACTAGTTAGTTAGTAATTATAATTTTTATATCACTAGTAAATTCTCTCTGTGTTCAGTTCTATTCGAGACATGCAGAGACAGTCCTGATCGTCCCTGCTGCTCTGCACTAACCGACCTCCTGCCAATCAAAGTGCTCTCATGTATTGTGACCATCCTAACGCTGCCGGTCAAGCTGACCTTCTCTCTCACCAACAGGTATAATATCTCTTAGTGTTCTGTCAAATCTTGCGCTGCCTTGTCTTGATATATTTATGGTATGTAAAGGTCACTGTGGTTAACCTTCCCTGTCTTTGTCCCAACTCGCAGTCCTAACTACTGCCGTCCAACCCTGGACTGGAGACTGGAAGCTAAAACGTTTACCACTGACTCATTAACATTTGACTTTTGAAATTACATTTTTTTTTCTGTTGACAAAAGGTGTAAAACGACATTATAAATCACGTGCTAGGTCATTTATTATCACGTTAGCTGTTTTGGCTAACTTTGAAGCTTGTTCCGAGCTAACTTTATTCGATCTTTCGACTAATTGTTGGCCATTTTGCAGAATATAAGATATGTATATTCTATATGGCTATTTATTTATTTTATTACACATACATTATACATACATTTATGTATTTGTTGTCTTGGTTTATAGTATTTGTTGCTAACCTTGTAGTCAGTTGCTGTATTTTCGTAGCTTACATTGGTATTTTCTTAAATTGTGCGTTGCGTTTGTTCTGTCAAAGTGTCATCCAGTTGGCCGGCACTGTCATTCACACTCTTTTGACGTCATCCAAACATGTCTGCAGTGGAGGCAAAAATAATCACAGGTATGTTCAAATAAAATTCAGTTTTTAACACCTTCCGGGACCTTTTTTTTTTTTTATTATTTTCCACTCTCACTCTGTATATTTAGAGATTTCTCTGAGCAGCAGCTGAGCAGCCAATCATCAGGTGCCGATCACTGTCACCAGACAGTAGACAGACACGCCATCCAGCCTTTGACTTCGTCATCCGACTCAACGTCCAACGTAAATCTACACTGGGACGACAACAGAAACCTAGACCTTGTCTCCTTGTCCTCCATGAGTTCAGGACGTCCCACTCTGCAAATATCACATTTGTCTAAATGTGGTAAAATGGCTTTAAACCAAAGGACTAGAGGGACACATCGGTCCTGACGAGAGGTAAACAACAACGTCAGCTCGTTTGTGTCCACCATACATCCTATGATAAAACTGGGCGTTTTCTTTAAGTGTTGAACCTGAGAAGAGAACTGAAAACTCAGGTTATAGATTTTCATTTTTTGGTGCTTGTTATTGCCACTGTTGTGATAATGATAAATTGCATTTTTTACAAACCATTATAGTTCACAGCATTTGAACTTCTGCAACAAGAAGATAATGCAACTGGTTATAAAACGGAAGAAGTTCTATTACCTGTTGACCATTCTAACCTTGGGCGCAGCTGCTGAGGTGTTAAAAGGTCAAGGGGTCATTGTTTCCCAGACACCAGCAAACAACAAGTTTGACTGTGTCGTTTTTGGGGGACCAACAATTAAATCTTCAAAGACTTAAAGTTTATGTAAAATAAATGTAAACTAACACATTTGTCTTATTTGTATTTGTGTTCATATATTTCACCTAAATTCTTCCAGCTGTGTGAAGTTTTTGGTTGACTAGAATTTAAAAAATATATATTTTTAAATGTTTTTAAATCACATTTAAAAACAGGAGTACGTGTTGATTATATTTGATTACGAAGATTTAACAGAATGAAGTTTGAAATGATAGTCTATTCGTTCACAACAGAAACTGTTTCTGTTCTTTACCGCGTGTCATCGTCTTGTCTGTTAATCTACATCTGATGCATAGATTTGCAGTTTGGTTCAAAGGTCTGAACCTTATTACTGATATCAAGGAATAGATTTTTATCACAATCTTGTTTACGGGTCAAATTGTCTCCACACTTACTGTCACATTCATGTTGACTCAAGTCAAACCAGCCGTGTCTATGTCCAATTGTGGCATGGAGACGTTTCTAAAGCTCATGACTTTTCTTCAATGTCACGTCACTACTTTTCCTTGTGTTTTTGTTTTGTGCCTTTGAAGCAGACGCTGCAGTGAAATCTATTTAAGATTCGAAAGTCATTCTAGTCCTTATGTGTTTCCATGATTCATCATGGCAGCTAAAGCCAATCATTAACTTGATAGTTTTGTCTAATTATACTATTTGCTTGTTTTGTCTAATGTTGATATATTTTGACTATGTGTAGTATGTGGTATCTAGTATTATTTAACTATTTTACTAAACTTAAAATAAATATTTTACACTATGGTTCCACAGTGTAGTGGTTATCACATCTGCCTTACATGCAGGACGTCCCCCATTGTGGGAATAATATTTATATTAACCTGTTTAAGGATAGCTAAAATAATTTGTTTAAAATAATATAGTGAATACAGTTACATTACAAACAGCAAAGACATTTGTCTGGAACATAATACAATTAGTACGTTTGGAAACCCTTGTATTCACTGTTACCTACTAAATTGAAAAAAAAAACAACTATCAAACCATAATGTAAAAAACGGCATCATCAGGATTTTAATAGTCAACTGTTTCATAAAATACAGTACTTTTATAAAACAACAACTGTCCAAAAAAACATCATTCTAAAATTCCTACTGCGGAAAAAAAAAAAAACTCACATAAAAACCTGTTGTCGAGATTTGACAAGTTTTTCCACTAAGTTGCTTTAGTGGAACCTCAAACCTGTCAGTTGTTCACATTGCACCATAGAGAGTTCATAGCACCATGAATGTTTAAAACAAAAATAATCAAAAGCCTGTTCAGTCCTCATTTCACAAAGAGAACAGTGTGCACTCTTCCTGAAGAGTCATCATTAACAACTAGAGATCGGTCCACTGATATGAACGCACGCAGCTACTGCATCCTCGTGCAGTAAAAGTTTTTTTCTGCGTCCTATATTAGATGTACTACTTAATATTCGTGCACAAAGGCACTTCTCCAAGTCAAGCATCACTGTCAAGTCCCTGATCATTTAAAAAGACAGCCACAAGAGATAGTCATACATACAGTCTGTGTACATGTACTGTGTTTCTATGCAGAAACATAAGTCTGCAAAACTTCTACAAAAAAGTCCAACTAGGTGTTTATATATTTTACTAATAAAAATAAAAAACAATCTAAGACCTGACACAAGAACCAAAGGAGTGAGAGGGTGAAAAGGAAACAGAACCTCAGGGCCTTTGGTCTCATAAACTGCCGTCCTTCGGTCCTCCACTGATTTCTGGAATCTGATCGGCAAAGGACTGCGTCATCCACTGTCCATCTGGGACTTGTCCGTCTGAGGTTTGTGATGTGGTCGCCTCCTGGGCTTCTTCTGAAGAAGAAGACAAACAGATTAGAGAAGAGTAAGGGTGTGTATTGGTAAGGATCTGGCAATACATTATGAAATATAAAAAACTGTAAGAATA